TAGCATGTCATCTCTCTCATATGTAGCATGTCATGTCTCTCATATGTAGCATGTCATGTCTCTCATATGTAGCATGTCATGTCTCTTATATGTAGCATGTCATCTCTCTCACTAATAGCATGTGTATGTTGTGTTTGTCATTCTTCATACTTTATCTCTCTACTTTATTTTCACGTGTTATTCATTCTTCATTCTTTATCTCTCTACTTTATTTTCACGTGTTATTCATTCTTTATACTTTATCTCTCTACCTTATTTTGACGTCATTCTTCATACTTTATCTCTCTACTTTATTTTCACGTGTTATTCATTCTTCATACTTTATCTCTCTACCTTATTTTGACGTCATTCTTCATATTTTGTCTCTCTACTTTATTTTGACGTGTTTGCCATTCTTCATACTTTATTTCTCTACTTTATTTCTCTACTTTATCTCTCTACTTTACATCCAAGTGTTCATCCTTCTGCTTGACAACACGACCCTTGATCTGTTCCTGATGCGCGCGCACAACCTCGGTATGACCAGCCGTGACTTCCTGTACATTATCCCAGATATCCAAATGGGGGATAATGATATCAATGTCGAAAATAATGTAAGTTGTTTTTGTACATGTCAGTTATTTATCAAATTCTGCTATCGTTAATAATTTTACTTTAGCCTTAAAAGCTTGCCTATCAAATATAGACGCACGATAGGCTGAACTAATTGTGTTTTAATTTCATACCTATAATTGCCTATATTCACGTTTTATTCATTCAAATATTTTTTACAAGCTCTTATTTAACTTGATTCCTCGTGCTCTTGTTTGTCATGTTTTGGCCGTCAAATATCGAAACTGGCGAGCAAAATATGGATTACTTCTACCTGACCGATTTCTTTTAAACTTAGCACGTGTTTCTAGACTTGATGACAATGCGATGTAACATACTTTGACTCGATCGGATACTTAAATAATTTTAAATACTATTCTTTCTCATAAAATAAGTAAGGTAGATTGTCAGAATTGAACTAAGTTAAGTTCGTCTACTAGATTGACCTGCTAGGGAGGGAGTATGTTGTCAGCACTACTCCCATTCGAATGTATTTAACCCTGCCCCGGTCATGTACCCACCATAACTAAGTGTACAGAAGGACCATCTGTCAACACATGGGTTGGGATTTGAACTCGAGATCTCTGGCACTAGCCACTCGAACACACCATCCACTTTTTGTTACAAGATTAAACTAGTCTGTCAAAATTATCATAAAACTGTTTTTCGAAACATTGAGTTATTGCTTTAGATAGTAGATATTTTTTACAATAAAAATCATCGGATGATAAAAATCTATAAATAGTACAGGACTGGTCCATGATAACAAGGATTTAACACCACAGCAGGTCGATTGAGCTATACAATGTAACAATAGTAACCAACCCCAAGTTTTCGGATATTTAAATTTTCAAAACTTAATTGAAAAATTGTCAACATTGAATGCATGTATTAAGTCGTTCACTAGTCGAGAACATGAGACCGTAGTTTGATAAGTTAAATGTTCAGCAAATGGAAAAATAAAACATTACAAACAATTTGGTTTTGTGAAGCTGTATGATTTAAAAAAAAATAATGCGCTTAATGGGGAGAGGTGGGGATGAATTGCCCTTGTACTGCGTGAACGTCATGTGTGAATAACTCTTGTACTGTGTGAAGCTTTTATGTGAATTATCTTGTACTTGAAACACCACCACACCACCAACTAGAGAATTACAAAACATTTACAAGTAGATAGGGGGTTAAAAAGATAATTAGTTACAAAAGGATGAAACAACGTACACACATACCAGACAGATAAACAATACAAAACAGAAGATGACTAAGCATTCAAATCATAATAAATAAATACAAATACATACAAAATAAATAGATAACCGAGCTTAAACATACACATAAAAACAAATAAAACAGTTGTGAACTAACATACAACAAACAATAAATTAAAATACATTTTAAATTACGTACAAACAATCCCCCCCACCCCCATCATCCTTCAACCCATCAGCTACGGAGAGACGTGTATAAGTGTGTGGTCTATCTAAAGATGATGACTCCAGTACTCAGCAGTTATAATAATCTGATGACGATGCTCAACATTCGAATGTTTGGTAACGTTACATCCAGTTACGTACGGGCCACGTCTGAAGATCAGGCAAGTTGTCTTTCACATTTACTAGCCATGCTAAATCATTAAGTTCATTAGGTTATTCTTTTTTGTATGCTAAATCTGTAAGGTGTTTAAGCATTCCATTAAGTAAATTAAATAAATTACCAAACTTTTTATAGAACACAATTCTTCTTTAAAAACAAATATAATTCCATTTTTTTAACCTAGTAACTAAAAGTATAGTATTAACTATTTTATTATAGACCTGCGTATTATAGAGAAATTGTATTCTTCCCATAACATTAACGCGAGCCTGATATTTTCCATGATCCTAGTCCTAACCCGAATGAGCTCATCGTAATCCTATAGAAAAACATAGTCCGCACTAGACTTACCTAATTAACCTAATCTTATTCCTCCTATTTACTCTCACTCGGGATACACTGACCATACCCCTTAACCTAACCCATACAAACCCTCTCTGAATATCCCTAACCGTGATCCTAATTGCGACTAACCATTACCATCATCATACCCCTAATCCCATTATTCTAATCATAATCCTAACCAAGAGTTACCAACCAAGAAAAAAAACTTACTTTTGACGAAACTGTCTTATCGTACCGACACTTATTACACAAATCAATCAGCCAGTTAATTAGAGATTTAATTAAAAACTTCCCGGGGCGTCAGGAGGAGATCGCGCCGCCTGGAACCCTGGCCCAGCCCTACCTCCTAGCAGGCTACTACAACGCCTTCAGCATCTACCTGTCGGCCGTCAACCAGACTATGGCTAGCGGCGGTGACGTCAGCAACTGGACAGTGGTCACTGATTACATGAAGAACAAAACATTTAAAGGTGTGTAATTGTTAACTATTCTTGGGTCAACATTTCTTTTAAAGCTGTTATTATTTTTTAAAAATTATACATTCTTAACATTTTGAATACACATAATTTGTTAACATCTGTTATTATATTGAAAAAATTGCAGATTGTTAACCCTTTGCGTACACACAATTTGATAGTTAATATTTTGTGAAGAATAAATGTGTTAACATTTTGTTGACATAATTAAGTTTCGTACACAAATAACCGATACTTAACATGTATATATAAAACAAATTAGCCCTTTGTTTACAAAAACATTTTAACATTTTATCTACAAGAAATTCGATAGTTAACATTTTGTGAAAAAAATTAGCCTTTTGTTAATGAAGAAAAGTAGTACATATTCCGTTAGAATATTATATAAATATACCTACTATTTCATCTCAACTATTGGTTAGAGTATGTACGATATTTAAAATTGTTGCCAAATTAAATTTCTTCTCTTCTCAGGAGTTGCCGGGACTTTTAGAATCAGCCCCGAGGGTCATAGGCTCATAGATATTGGCATCTATCATATGAGGGACATAGATAACGGCACCTTTGTGGTATCTGTAGTGTGATTTGTATGAAAGTGGACATAATGTCCATATGAGGGACATAGATAACGGCATAACGACATTTGACGGATACAAATAAAGGCACCTTGAATGTTACTGTATTATAATGTGTGCGAGTTTGGAGTCAACACGTGTATAACTCCATTGCAAACAAACTCACAATGCAATACTTTACCAAACAAACTCACAATACAATACTTTACCAAGCAAACTCACAATACAATACTTTACCAAGCAAACTCATAATACAATACTTTACCAAGCAAACTCAAAATACAATACTTTACCAAGCAAACTCACAATACAATACTTTACCAAGCAAACTCACAATACAATACTTTACCAAGCAAACACACAATACAATACTTTACCAAGCAAACTCACAATACAATACTTTACCAAGCAAACACACAATACAATACTTTACCAAGCAAACTCACAATACAATACTTTACCAAGCAAACACACAATACAATACTTTACCAAGCAAACACACAATACAATACTTTACCAAGCAAACTCACAATACAATACTTTACCAAGCAAACTCACAATACAATACTTTACCAAGCAAACTCACAATACAATACTTTACCAAGCAAACTCACAATACAATACTTTACCAAGCAAACTCACAATACAATACTTTACCAAGCAAACTCACAATACAATACTTTACCAAGCAAACTCACAATACAATACTTTACCAAGCAAACTCACAATACAATACTTTACCAAGCAAACTCACAATACAATACTTTACCAAGCAAACTCATAATACAATACTTTACCAAGCAAACTCACAATACAATACTTTACCAAGCAAACTCACAATACAATACTTTACCAAGCAAACTCACAATACAATACTTTACCAAGCAAACTCATAATACAATACTTTACCAAGCAAACTCATAATACAATACTTTACCAAGCAAACTCACAATACAATACTTTACCAAGCAAACTCACAATACAATACTTTACCAAGCAAACACACAATACAATACTTTACCAAGCAAACTCACAATACAATACTGTACCAAGCAAACTCACAATACAATACTTTACCAAGCAAACACACAATACAATACTTTACCAAGCAAACTCACAATACAATACTTTACCAAGCAAACACACAATACAATACTTTACCAAGCAAACTCACAATACAATACTTACCATGCAAATTCACTATACAGTACTTTACCAAGCAAAATCATACATTACTCTAACAAGAGATATCACATTATTTTCGCTGTAACAACGTACTTTTCAAAACATCCACGTTGTTTTAATTAATTAATTTTACGAACAGCTAATTGGAATTTATAAGGAATGCCAATTCCTCCCCCCCCCCGCCCTGAATGTGAGATGTAACCTGTTTACCACAGAGGGTGGGGCTATTCAGTGCCGTGCAAACAAGCCTAGTTATGGCCCCTGGCTACAAGACGTTCTGGCCGGGTGAGGATGGGGGTCACGTGATGGACGTGCCCCTGTGTGGGTTTGATGGTGAGCACTGTCCAGCCAAAGGTGAGATGACACGGTGGTTTGGTGGGGGTGACACATGATATGGTGGTATGGCTGGGGTGACATTACATAAAGTTGACGTGTTACAAATTGGTAAATATAGGTGACAGATGACATGTTGGTAGATGGAGGTGACAGATGACATGTTGGTAGATGTAGGTGACAGATGACATGTTGGTAGATGGAGGTGACAGATGACATGTTGGTAAATGGAGGTGACAGATGACATGTTGGTAGATGAAGGTGACAGATGACATGTTGGTAGATGAAGGTGACAGATGACATGTTGGTAGATGGAGGTGACAGATGACATGTTGGTAGATGTAGGTGACAGATGACATGTTGGTAGATGGAGGTGACAGATGACATGTTGGTAGATGGAGGTGACAGATGACATGTTGGTAAATGGAGGTGACAGATGACATGTTGGTAGATGGAGGTGACAGATGACATGTTGGTAAATGGAGGTGACAGATGACATGTTGGTAGATGGAGGTGGCAGATGACATGTTGGTAGATGGAGGTGGCAGATGACATGTTGGTAGATAGAGGTGACAGATGACATGTTGGTACGTGGAGGTGACAGATGACATGTTGGTAGATGGAGGTGGCAGATGACATGTTGGTAGATGGAGGTGGCAGATGACATGTTGGTAGATAGAGGTGACAGATGACATGTTGGTACGTGGAGGTGACAGATGACATGTTGGTAGATGGAGGTGACAGATGACATGTTGGTAGATGGAGGTGACAGATGACATGTTGGTAGATGGAGGTGACAGATGACATGTTGGTAGATGTAGGTGACAGATGACATGTTGGTAGATGGAGGTGACAGATGACATGTTGGTAGATGGAGGTGACAGATGACATGTTGGTAGATGTGGGTGACAGATGACATGTTGGTAGATGGAGGTGACAGATGACATGTTGGTAGATGGAGGTGACAGATGACATGTTGGTAGATGTAGGTGACAGATGACATGTTGGTAGATGGAGGTGACAGATGACATGTTGGTAGATGGAGGTGACAGATGATATGTTGGTAGATGGAGGTGACAGATGACATGTTGGTAGATGGAGGTGACAGATGACATGTTGGTAGATGTGGGTGACAGATGACATGTTGGTAGATGGAGGTGACAGATGACATGTTGGTAGATGGAGGTGGCAGATGACATGTTGGTAGATGGAGGTGACAGATGACATGTTGGTAGATGGAGGTGACAGATGACATGTTGGTAGATGGAGGTGACAGATGACATGTTGGTAAATGGAGGTGACAGATGACATGTTGGTAGATGGAGGTGACAGATGACATGTTGGTAGATGGAGGTGACAGATGACATGTTGGTAGATAGAGGTGACAGATGACATGTTGGTAGATGGAGGTGACAGATGACATGTTGGTAGATGGAGGTGACAGATGACATGTTGGTAGATGGAGGTGACAGATGACATGTTGGTAGATGGAGGTGACAGATGACATGTTGGTAAATGGAGGTGACAGATGACATGTTGGTAGATGGAGGTGACAGATGACATGTTGGTAGATGGAGGTGACAGATGACATGTTGGTAGATGGAGGTGACAGATGACATGTTGGTAGATGGAGGTGACAGATGACATGTTGGTAGATGGAGGTGACAGATGATATGTTGGTAGATGGAGGTGACAGATGACATGTTGGTAGATGGAGGTGACAGATGACATGTTGGTAGATGGGGATGACAGATGACATGTTGGTAAATGGAGGTGACAGATGATATGTTGGTAGATGGAGGTGACAGATGACATGTTGGTAGATGGAGGTGACAGATGACATGTTGGTAGATGGAGGTGACAGATGACATGTTGGTAGATGGAGGTGACAGATGACATGTTGGTAGATGGGGATGACAGATGACATGTTGGTAAATGGAGGTGACAGATGATATGTTGGTAGATGGAGGTGACAGATGACATGTTGGTAGATGGAGGTGACAGATGACATGTTGGTAGATGGAGGTGACAGATGACATGTTGGTAGATGGAGGTGATAGATGACATGTTGGTAGATGGAGGTGACAGATGACATGTTGGTAGATGGAGGTGACAGATGACATGTTGGTAAATGGAGGTGACAGATGACATGTTGGTAGATGGAGGTGAAAGATGATATGTTGGTAAATGGATGTGACAGGTGACTTGTTGGTAGATGGAGGTGACATATGACATGTTGGTAGATGGGGGTGTAAGATGACATGTTGCAGTGACAGTTGAGATGTAGCGCTGACATCGACAGATGACATCTTGCGCAGGGGCTGAAAGATATCATCTGTAGTTTGTTTACCTTGAGTTTAAAGCTGGCGTTTGTTCCCCTGACATATGTACTGTGAAACATACGTTGATATTTAAAAGATAAAATAGAGGTTTGGTCGTACCGGAGGTAGACTTGACGTTTGTAGTTAAGGTGAGACAGAACCATGTATTGTTGAATACTAATCGTACGTCTTGTCTAGTTGGTCCATTTTATTAACACACTGCGTTACACACCTTGTCTAGTTGGTCCATTTTGTTAACACACTGCGTTACACACCTTGTCTAGTTGGTCCATTTTATTAACACACTGCGCTACACACCTTGTCTAGTTGGTCCATTTTATTAACACACTGCGTTACACACCTCCCCAGACTCGAACCTGCTGACCATTGTTCTAACGGTGACCTTTGCTGTGTTAATCTTAGCCTGTGTTGCAATATGTTTCATATACGTGAGGTATGTGTGTGGTTTTCTATGGGGGGGGGGGAACAAGAGAATTAGTGTTTTTGTACGCTGGAGGTATGAGTGTGGGTGTTTGTACCTGGGATATATATATATATATATATATATATATATATATATATATATATATATATATATATATATATATATATATATATATATATATATTGACAATTATCATAGCTTTATGTTTATGTATGTTGATTGCCCACCCACTAAGAATGTCAGTAATTTGTTGTTTTTTCTTTCATTGCGACTGCTGTTCATTGACCGCTAACAGAATTAGACGCAAACGAAACAACGATCAATATGATTGGTGGAAAATTGACCCTAGTGAACTCCAGCCAATGACAAGAAACCACACAAAGTCGACGTTTTCCTTCGTTCTTCGACAGGTTGGTTTCCTCTTAAAAGTTCCCTTAACACAGACAAGATATGGTAGCGCTAGTCATTTGTTAAGAAAAGTTATGGAAGTGCTTTCAAATGGATTTAAGTAGGAAATATCTAGAAAAGACGGATTGGTCGTTTTTTTTTTGGGAAAAATAAATAATTTCGTTTTACATAGAATCCAGCTGAGATTGTCTTATCGAATCTCATTTTTGTTCACACAAATACCACACAAAAATAAAGACACCATAAGAACATGTTATACAATGTTATTGTTGTTCGGAGTTTAAAAAAAAGATTAGTTATACTTAAGACATTTGGTAATGTGAACTGTATTTTTAGTATTGTTTAAAGTAAAAAAGTTTCCCTTTCAAAACCTGACGGTCTATGGGGCAAGTGCAGTAGAGTTCACTTGTTTCTGTGACCTCAGCATATGAAGAGATAGTGTGGTCAGCTCTATGCCCAGCCGCCTTTACTTTCCCTAACGCGAGTTAGGTACCCGGATTCGAACTCGAGACTTACGGGTTAGCAGTCCAGCTCTCTTCCGCTAGACCACTCCGTCCCATTTAGTATTGTTTAGCTTGTTATAAAATCTACAAATATCAATGACACCAAACTCACAAGTAATAAAGACACATTTCTACTTGGCCTCGCCCCCCCCCCCTTCCACTAGAGTAAGGCGGATATGGCAGAGGCAAGCACGCACGACAAGAACGTCTCTTTATACAAGGTAAGGTACTCACGCTTCTGCTAATCCTCATCACGTGACCTACCAGGCTGCCACTATTTTGACCTACCACTTTAAGAAAAAAACTAAGCTCGACAATCTATGATATTCCTTAGGCCCAATTCAATTTCAACTATGAGCATGGTTGACATTTTTATATATATTGCTGAGGAATAGTTATATTGTTTATGCTTTAACATGAAACAATGGTATGATCGTTTTTTAAAGAAATTATTTATTTCGCCTTGACTGAGACCGTTTCAACCTCAGGGTAATGTCGTCAAGGTTGAAGGCCTGGACCAAAAGGGCCTGTATGTGACATCACAGCTGCTGAAGGAGCTACAGCAGGTAAAATCTATCTAATCTAGTAAACATCATCTAATCCATTACTGTAAACATCATCTAATCCATTACTGTAAACGTCATCCATCTAATCCAGTACTGTAAACGTCATCCATCTAATCCAGTACTGTAAACATCATCCATCTAATCCAATACTGTAAACATCATCCATCTAATCCAGTACTGTAAACATCATCTAATCCATTACTGTAAACGTCATCCATCTAATCCAGTACTGTAAACATCATCCATCTAATCCAGTACTGTAAACATCATCCATCTAATCCATTACTGTAAACATCATACATTTAATCCAGTACTGTAAACATCATCTAATCCAGTACTGTAAACATAATCTAATCCAGTACTGATCTAATCCTGTACTGTAAACATGATCTGGTACAGCATAACAACACTTCCAGTCAAAGATCCAACCAATCGTACCTTAACGAGCGCCGTATTACTTCCTATAACTGAGATAAAAGATGTAGAGCTGCTGACTTTTCAATATTTTATGGCTGCCAATATAGGCCTAGAGCAGGGGTCGGCAACCTTTTGAAGCGGAAGAGCCAAAAGTTACAATTTTCAAAATTTCCCTGGTTTTAAAGAGCCACTAACATTTTTTTATTTCAAATATTTTTTTTAAAATATTATTAGTATTTGTGCAAGGAGCTGGAGAGCCGCATCTTGATATCAAAAGAGCCGCATGCGGCTCGCGAGCCGCAGGTTGCCGACCCCTGGCCTAGAGCTATCAAACCGTCAACATCATCTTTCTAAATCACTTTTTAACTTCCCCAGATGCGCGCCATCAACCACCCCAACCTGCTCAGATTTATCGGCCTTTGTTTGGAGGCCGATGAGAAGTTTATGGTCACAGAACACTGTCCCAAAGGAGCGTTGGCGGTATTTACATTTACTGTTGTATCACTGTAACGATTACCTGATTGTATTTACATTTACTGTTGTATCACTTAACAATCACCTGATTGTATTTACATTTACTGATGGTATTATAACACTTGGCTGTAGAGTTAAAATATTAAGTAGTTGCGGGCCCAAGATTTAAAATAAATGTAGAAATCATGAAATCGCTCCTCAGTAATTGTCTAGCTCTGTAATATTTGTCTAGCTCTGTAATATTTGTCTAGCTCTGTAATATTTGTCTAGCTCTGTAATATTTGTCTAGCTCTGTATCTCTAGAACTTTGTCTTCATAGGAAGTCGTCATGGACGAGACGTTCACACTGGACCTAGTGTTTTCCTTGTCAATCTTGAACGACATTGTCCAGGTGGGTGTTGGAGGACATTGTCCAGGTGGGTGTTGAAGGACATTGTCCAGGTGGGTGTTGAAGGACATTGTCCAGGTATGTGTTGAAGGACATTGTCCAGGTGGGTGTTGAACGACATTGTCCAGGTGGGTGTTGGAGGACATTGTCCAGGTGGGTGTTGAAGGACATTGTCCAGGTGGGCGTTGAAGGACATTGTCCAGGTGGGTGTTGAAGGACATTGTCCAGGTGGGCGTTGAAGGACATTGTCCAGGTGGGCGTTGAAGGACATTGTCCAGGTGGGCGTTGAAGGACATTGTCCAGGTGGGTGTTGAAGGACATTGTCCAGGTGGGTGTTGAAGGACATTGTCCAGGTGGGTGTTGAAGGACATTGTCCAGGTGGGTGTTGAAGGACATTGTCCAGGTGGGTGTTGAAGGACATTGTCCAGGTGGGTGTTGAAGGACCTTGTCCAGGTGGGCGTTGAAGGACATTGTCCAGGTGGGTGTTGAAGGACATTGTCCAGGTGGGCGTTGAAGGACATTGTCCAGGTGGGTGTTGAAGGACATTGTCCAGGTGGGCGTTGAAGGACATTGTCCAGGTGGGCGTTGAACGACATTGTCCAGGTGGGTGTTGAAGGACATTGTCCAGGTGGGTGTTGAAGGACATTGTCCAGGTGGGCGTTGAAGGACATTGTCCAGGTGGGTGTTGAAGGACATTGTCCAGGTGGGTGTTGAAGGACATTGTCCAGGTGGGTGTTGAAGGACATTGTCCAGGTGGGTGTTGAAGGACATTGTCCAGGTGGGTGTTGAAGGACATTGTCCAGGTGGGCGTTGAAGGACATTGTCCAGGTGGGTGTTGAAGGACATTGTCCAGGTGGGCGTTGAAGGACATTGTCCAGGTGGGCGTTGAAGGACAGGTTTGTGTTGCTGGGTATTGTCCATTTTGTTACTTGTGTTAAACAACGTATGAAGTACTAATGTCTAATTTGAATAATGAAGTCATTAGATTGGTTTAGGACTTATTTTTAAAAACTTTCTTGAATTTAAACATTTGAGCAATATTACGTGATCAGCTCCCAGTGTATGTCCCCACCCCCAGGCCCTCATGTACATCCACAAACAACCCATCCGTGTCCACGGGCGACTGACCAGCGAGGCATGCCTCATTGACTCACGCTTCTCGGTCAAGGTCGCCCATTACGGTCTACCGACCATTTACGACAACACAAAACGTCACGAAAAGGGTGAGTAGCCATTACGTCATGTGACTTCAGCAAGAAAAAGGCGATTTTGTTTTACAAGTTGCAAGTTTTTAAAAAGCTGAAAACTAAATCTAGTTAGCTCATAAAGAAAATCAAATGTATGCTAGCTTGTAATTCGCCACTTTCTAGATTTACTTTGGATGGCACCGGAAGTACTAAGATCAGGAGGGAAGGCAACACCGGAAGCAGACGTGTACAGTGTGGGAATCATCATCTCGGAGATCTTAACAAGGGACGCGCCGTTTGGACAAGAGCGAGAGTTATACTCCATCAACGGTAAACACCACTTCTTGCTCTACAGATAATCGGATCAAGAAATATAACTCTTGTTTCTTATTTTTAGAATCGAGCTCCCCCTACTTAAAAGTAGGCCGAGTACTCTGAGCTTGTCGAGTCTACGATTTGTATGTTTATAGATATAAATTACATGTCTGGGCCATCTTCACAGTGCAATGTTACATCGAAACATTATAACATTTGTGGAGTTTAAAGATAAAAAATCCGATCTTGAATCATATGAGTGGGATGATGTGTCTCTTGACCCCACCGAACCCCCGATACTTACTCGCCGAACCCCTAGGGTTTGATTGATAGAACCCACATTAAGAACCACTGGTTTAGTTTTTTATTGATAGACATGACGGTAAACGAACAAAATACTTAAATGTGATTTTTTACGTCTTTCATATCGTTTAGTCAGTGAAGTCTGTTTTCTCGCAAGCTAATATTAACAGCGGCCTGTTGAGATACGACTTAAGACAAAAGCTAGTTAGAAAGCGACCTAATTGAACTTACGTCGCAAGTTAATTAGAATAGCTTTCTAATTAGACTTACGTCACTAGTTACTTAAACAGCGTTATAACGTAACTGACACTGTTCTGACCAACCAGAGATCGTATCCAGAATCAAAGAACACCTGGACTTCCCCCTTAGGCCAGGCTTCCAGACCGCCCCTGACATGGGGGTCATAGGTCAGCTGATGGAGAAATGCTGGGAGGAGGACCCGACTAAAAGGCTGCCACTGCTCAAATTATCCAGTTCCTTGCGTGCACTGATGGCGTAAGAATTGATTGCAGCTTCACGTCCTTAATGTAAACAGTAACTCGGCTTTGTAGACCATAAGAGTTGGAGTTAAATGTAGCTAATCTCTAAACCTTGATATACCAGCTATGCTGAAAGAGCAGTGAAAAATAGTCCAAAAACAAATTGAGTATATATTTAATTGTTTGCATGAATTTTAAAGTAAAAAAGTTTCCCTTTCAAACCTGACGGTCTATGGGGCTAGTGAAGTAGAGTTCACTTGTTTCTGTGACCTCGGCATATGAAGAGATAGTGTGGTCAGCACTATGCCCAGCCGCCTTTACTTTCCCTAAAGTGAGTTAGGTACCCATCAGAGTTGGGTGGACTCAGGGACGGTCTACTGACTTGAACCCGGGTTCAAACTCGAGACTTACGGGTTAGCAGTCCAGCTCTCTACCGCTAGACCACTACGTCACCCTTGCTTGAATTTAGTCTTTGCTATTTTGATTTTTGAAATTGAGATTCAATTACAATGTACGAGTTTTGAGACAACTTCTATAAATTATTTTATCAATCAGGAAAAAAATTGCTTTATTGTTTGGAAATACTTTTAAAATTCTGTTGCTTGCACACATGAAATATTGTGGCGGTCTAACCCGTCTCCTCTTGTTATCCCCCCTCCCAGGAAGGTGAACAAGTCCGGCAGTCTGGTGGACAACCTACTGCAGAGGTTGGAGAAATACAGCACCAACCTGGAGAAGATCGTGGACGAGAAGGTCGAGGAACTCAGGCAAGAGAAGCAGAAATCTGAGGAGCTTCTTAAACAGATGCTGCCCGCGTAAGTCATGCCCCAATATATGCTGCCCACGTAAGTCATGCCCTAACATATGCTGCCCGCGTACGTCATGCCCCAACAGATGCTGCCCGCGTAAGTCATGTCCCAACAGATGATGCCCGCATAAGTCATGTCCCAACAGATGCTGCTCGCGTAAGTCATGCCCCAACAGATGATGCCCGCATAAGTCATGTCCCAACATATGCTGCCCGCCTAAAAATAGATGCTGCCCAGACATGCCCACATGTTACTGACTCTAACAACTAAATCGCTAAACATGTTTGTCTTTGTACAAAATTGTTGAATTACATGGTGAGATAATGCAGCAACTAATCCTGTTTAAATATATTTCAAAGGCAAAGGATTTAATTTATGTTTTTTTTTTGTTTATTCTGACTAAGACCATATTATTCAAAAACGAGTTTTGTTAAGTCACGCCCAAAAGCCAGTCATTTTGAATTTGCATCAATTAAACTTAATTAAACTTAATCATAAAATCGAAGCGTCTAAGTCTACCGGTTTGACCGCGTGACGTCCCAGCTTGACCTTTCATTATTAAGGGGCACAATGCATCTCGCAAGGGACAGAATCAACTTTAACTTTAAGGGCATAATATTGTCTAGATTGACATCACAAAGTGACATCGTCCACAATGACATTTAAAATGGCTTCCCTCAAAATGTGATCTAAAAACTTGATGCTACCTAGACTGACATTTCAAAAAATAGTGTTTAGGATTACTTCTAAAACGACAGCAACACTAATTAATCAGAAATGGCGTAATTCAGAAACACATCCAAAGGACAGAAACCAAAGTGACATTAAAAATAAAATCAACCAATATGAACATCATCAGCCAACATGCTATCTAAAATGACATCATCCCGAATAACCCACAAAATGACATCACCTGGAATGACATTGTCAGTGATATCCTCCATAATGACATCTAATTTGACATTATTCAGAAAGACATGAAAAATAATATTACCCAATAGGACATCTGCAATGAAATTACCCAGATTGACATATAACATTTCATAATGTAAAATTACATCATCTAGAATGACAATGGCGTGACATCTTTCATAATGACATCTGAATTGATGTTATTCAGAAAGACATCTCCAGTAACATTAAAATGGCATTTTAAAATGTTCTAATCCAAAATGACACCTCTCCCCCGGGAGTGTGTCTGAAAGCCGGCCTGACGGTGGAGCCAGAGTTCTAGAACTATTTGACCCTTTAGTTCCTTCTTTAAGCTGACCATCTCTGTGTCACATCTACAGGAGCGTGGCAGACAGACTGAAGGCCGGCCTGACGGTGGAGCCAGAGTTCTACGACTGTGTGACCATCTACTTCAGCGACATCGTCGGCTTCACCGTCATCTGCTCCCAGCTCAAGCCCGAGCAGATCATCATCTTCCTCAACGAGCTCTACTCCTGCTTCGATGACGTCATCGGCAGCTTTGATGTCTACAAGGTGGGTCCAGGCCTCAGGCGCAGAGACACCTGGGTGTTTCTTTGGGGGATGGGGGGCGGTCAATATGGAAACATTGCACAATAAATTAACTAGGTCAATAGGAAAACATTGTACATGGAAGATGGACACAATGGTTAAAGTATACATTTTGTATGTATATTCTATATCTTTTGGGGGAAGGGGCTATATGGAAACAGGGCACAATAGGTTGAGTTGGTCAATATGAAAACATTGTACATGGAGGACAGACACTGGTTGAAGTATACAGTGTACAGTTAGCATATAAATTATATTTTGTCCGGGGGAGGGGGGAAGGAGATGCCTGAAAGAAACTCTGGTTATGTTGTGAATTCTGTAGGTGGAGACTATAGGCGACGCTTACATGGTGGTCTCTGGTCTGCCGAACCGGAACGGCAATGAGCATGCGCGGCAGATTGCTCGGATGTCCTTGGCCTTGCTCCGGGTGATTTCCGAGTTCAAGGCATCGGGGTTTCCCCAGACTGTCATCAAGCTAAGGATTGGACTGAACTCAGGCAAGTTTTTAATAGGAAGCGGAGAGGTAGGAAAAAACAAATGTTTGTTCCAAAGCTAGGTAAACAGTGACCACCTTTGACGCGGCTGCAGGACATTACCCCCCTGGAAATTTCCCCCCCCCTCGGACATTCCCCCCCCCCGGAGCAATTATCCCCCTGTCCATTACCCCCCTGTCAATTACCCCCCCCCCCCCCCCGGGGAATTACCCCCCCCCCCCCTCTCAAGTTAGAATCCTAACTCTAACTAGAATTCTATACCTCTATACTACTTTAATCCAAACCTTAAGAAAAAGACCAAAACCTAAGCATTCACCTTAGCCTAAAACTTCACACAAAACCAAAACCAACGCTAGACACATCCCTAACCCTAACCATAACACTAGCCCTAGTCCTAACCCTAACCCTAACCCTAGCCCTAGCCCTAATCCTAGCCCTAACCCTAACCCTAACCCTAACCCTAGCCCTAGCCCTAAACATAACCCTAGCCCTAGCCCAAAACCTAACCCTAACCCTAAACCTAGCCCTAATCCTAACTCTAACCCAGTCCGGGGGGTAATGTCCTACCGGGCGGGGGGTAATTGACAGGGGGTAATTGACAGGGGGGTAATTGACAGGGGGGTAATTACTCTGGGGGGTAATGTCGGGGGGGGGGGGGAATGTCCGGGGGGTAATTGACAGGGGGGAAATGCCCTGTTCCCCTTAGACGCACACCCAGCACTGAAGGGTACCTGGCTTATGTTAGGGAAAACAAAGGTGGTGTGCTGAGTACTGACAAGCTGTCTCTTCTTATACCGCGATCAAGGAAACACTGACCTTATTAGCCCTATGGACTAAAGGGCTATTTACTTACTGGACGTAGACTACAAAGGTAGACCAATGTCAGTCTCTCAGAATTTAAAATTTTATTTATGTAAATCATGTACATTGATTATGTGCTCGTAGTAGTCGTGTGCCAGAGTTGTCATGTGCCCTGTAGGTCCTGTATGTCCTATGTACCGTTCTGACATATGACCTACATTCCCCCTACGTTCTGTATATCCTACGAGCCGACCCGCGGCGTATCATACGCCGCTATTTAGTTGTTTTATTTTCTACTTCTCAGTAATTCATAATTTGTGAATTCGACAGTACCAATGCTGCCACTGAAAATATTTGTTTAAAAAAAATACCCCCCCCCCCTTTCCCCCAACCCCTACCCTACACCCCCCCCCCCCCCGTGAAAGCAGCCTCTCTTAGTTACCTAAGTTTAAAATCGTTTCAAACTAAATTATCTGCCCCTAATAAACGTCACTAAACCAGGTTCTATGTTTGTAAACATTAGCGTGACCACAGCTCACCAGATCATGTGGGGTGGGGGTGGTAGTGATAGAGAGGAAGAGAGGGGATTGCAAGGGGAGCTTGCAGCTTGTTTTCTAAAGTCACCCAGAAGAGAATTATATATATAGATATACTGTCCTAACATATGTCCTAAACCGCTAGGTCCTTTATGTCCTCTATGTCCTATATACTGTCCTATGTCCTTCACCCCTATGTCCTCTTTGTCCTATATACTGTCCTATGTCCTCCAACCCCAGGTCCTGTATGTCCTATATACAGTCCTAACATGTCCTCCAACCCCAGGTCCTCTATGTCCTATATACTGTCCTAACATATGTCCTAAACCCCACTAGGTCATGTATGTCCTCTATGTCCTATATACTGTCTTAACATATGTCCTCCACCCCATGTCCTGTATGTCCTATATGTCCTATATACCGTCCTAAAATATGTCAAACATTCCCCCTAGGTCTGTTTGTCCTCTATGTCCTATATACTGTCCTAACATATGTCCTCCACCCCTATGTCCTGTATGTCCTCTATGTCCTATATACTGTCCTATGTCCTCCACCCCCAGGTCCTGTATGTCCTATATACTGTCCTAACATATGTCCTACACCTCAGGTCCTGTAAGTCCTGTATGTCCTCTATGTCCTATATACTGTCCTATGTCCTCCACCCTCAGGTCCAGTCTGTGCTGGTGTAGTCGGTCTAAAGATGCCACGTTATTGTTTGTTTGGTGACTCGGTCAATACGGCGTCAAGGATGGAGTCCAACGGTGTCGGTAAGTTCTCTATCTCAATGTGTGGGTAAGTTCCCTGGTCTAGTGTGTGGGTAAGTTCCCTGGTCTAGTGTGTGGGTAAGTTCGCTGCCTTAGTGTGTGGGTAAGTTCCCTGCTTTAGTGTGTGGGTAAGTTCCCTGCTTTAGTGTGTGGGTAAGTTCCCTGTTTTCCTTACTGTGTGCGTTCCCTACTGTGTTTGTTCCCTACTTTTTACTGAATTAATGCACTATACATGTAACAGAACAGTGCACATATGTTATAACAAAATGTTTTTCCTCTACCCCTACCACTGTAACATCAATAGATCCGTTCCCTTATTATTTAACAACAAAACCGAATGACAAACATCTACTACCCCCCTTTTCATGTTATACTAGGCATGCTGCCCAGCTTCGCTTAGGCTCAGTAGCGTAGCGAGGGGGGGGGGGGACATTTGTCCCCGGGCGCCGACCTTAGGGGCGCCAAAATGGGTTGGAAAAATAAATTATAAGGTTGAGGGTGGTGCAAATCGAAAGTTTGAGGGGGGGGGGGGTTGCAAATCAAAATCATGAGGGGTGGGGGGGGGGTGCAAATCGAAAATTTTGTCCCCGGGCGCCGGGTAGGGTCGCTACGCCTCTGCTTAGGCTTTCGAAAACATTGAGAATTTGAATGCTTAATTAGTTCGCCCATATAAGGCGCCGGTCAGTCGAGGTCAGTTTTGACCCCCTCATCGTAGACTTTTCGGCCAACCGGCCCCCGTGTTCTGTCGCCCCAAGGCAAGATCCTGCCAAATTTGAAGCGCCTGCGGCGCCGGGAAGTGCCCTATCGGGCACCCGACAACTTAGCTTTATAGATCATCTAGATCTAGATCTAGAATCTCTAGATCTAGATGATCTAGATGATCTAGAACATCTAGATCTAGATCAATATCTAGATCTAGAATCTCTAGATCTAGAATCCAAATAGATAAAATAATTTTTTTTTAAGTTTAGGCCGAGAAAATCGTACTGTATACATTTCATAGCGTACATAGCTCTAAATCATATTTGAATGAAATAGTTCATTTTTTAAAATTCTAAACTCGGAAGATGACGTCATCAGTTTCGTGCTCTTGTTTTAGTGTTTTAGTGTAAACAATAAGCGACGTCATTGTTAAATGCGTTCTTGTCCCAAGTTTATACACTTTTCCGGTTGCATAAATAATACTGTTTCTCTATATTCGAATACGCCTTTACTTTTTATTTTTCTTCTTTAAATAAAATTGTGGTTATACATTTAAAACATCTAACATATTATTTTCAACAAAAGTCCGTAAAAAGTTCTTCATATATTGCTGTCGATTCTGACGTGATGTCCGGCGAAAATATTTTGCGGACAGACAGATAGAGAGAGAGAGAGAGAGATGTGCGAACGTGGGGTTTTATATATTAGGATTATACGTGCACTCTCCCAACTAAGTGAGCAAATGATCACGTGATCTCGTCTTTCACACCAGAACTGAAGATCCACATGAGTGGCAGCACAGTTGGCATACTTGAAACTTTTGGAAACTTCCAGATTCAATCTCGCGGCCATATTGAAGTAAAGGTAACGGTTGGGTGTCTTAACTTTCTTGTGGTCACCATTACAACAGGTAACACGTTTACACCTCAGCCCCAATATCCCACGGTACCAATGTGACTACAGTACAACTAGCCAACACTGCCCTACACCCCACGAACATTCACTGTGTGGGTTACGTCACACTAACCCAGCGAACAAGTTATCGATTAGTACAGCCTGGCCGAACAAGACATTAATAGATAAAAACAGCTGATATATTTCATTGGTTCACACGAGTACATAGAGGGACACCAGGGGGCGCTGAGATAGAAACAATAATTAAAACCACATGGTGCAGTTTGTACATTGATGGGGGGAATGTTATTGATCAGGCTGGGGCTTATGCGGCATTTCGTGGTGATATATATATATATATATATATATATATATATATATATATATATATATATATATATATATATATATATATATATATATGTACCCAGTGGCGTAGCGAGGGGGGGGGGGGAGCTGGGGGTGCGGACCGCACGGGGTGACACCATTTAGGGAGTTAACACCAAGGCAAAAAATAGAAAAATATATAGTGAAAAATGATAATTCAACTTAATTAAGTGATTAATTCGAGTGTTAAGTAGTCTTTTAAGAGGTGCAAATCAAAAGTTTGAAGGGGGGGGGGGGTGCAAATCGAAAGTTCGATAAGGGGGGTGGAAATTGAAAATTTGAGGGGGGGGGCAAATCGAATGTTTGAGGGGGGTGTGTGCAAATCGAAAATTGAAAGTTTGTCCCCGGGAAGGGTTGCTACGCCTCTCGAGGGTGACACCATTAAGTGCCGCACCGGGTGATACCCGACCTCGCTACGCCTACACCTATTTTGTTCATATTATTATGCAACACCTTGGTATAAAACACTTTAAAATATGTATTATATTTTTTTCTAATTTTGATCGTTCTGTACTTGGGTCGTGGGATAAGGTTCTATGTTTACGTTTCATATTTACGTTCAGTATTTCTAATTGTATTTTTAAAATGTGTTTTACTTAAGGGAAAGGGAATGATGGAGACCTTCTGGCTGCTTGGTGAAAAAGGTCCCTGACCTTTATCTAGACGACCTTAATTTTCCGACGGTGGCTAGTAATGTTGTAATGAATATGTACATACAACTTACAAATAAAAATGATTGTTTTTACTCTCAATGGTATTTTGAATTTAGCTACAAATTTTAAAACATATTAAGATGGCTGCATTTAGATTTCTAGTATCTTCTTACTATTTTATTTTTCAATCTTTAAAAAAACAACGATTTAAAATAAAATATCTTCAGTTGAATTTAATGCTAGAGAATGTTGTGTTAAAACATTAATTGAATCAAGGGTGTATAACAAATTCTATTTACATTTTTTTTATTCGAAAAGGTTTACCTCCCCTTTTTTTCTTGAAGCATTGTAAAAATGCTTCACAATTGACTGTATAAGTTAATCGGTAGGATTTGTTTTTTTATCTGTATTATTATCCGTTAGAAAATTAGAGATATAAACATTAAAATAATTTACTACATTAAAAATTGATTTACAATTATATTTGAATTTTATTTCACAGTATAAGAAGTGTATTTTTAAATCCCGATGAACATTTAATGTCTACGTAATTGATTTTTACATTTTTGTTTTTATTTTAAAATGGGCAATGTAACTTTTTATAAAATTCAATAAAGGAATATAAAAAAAATGTGTGTGTGTGTAGTTTGTGATAGGGTCTGGTTTCAAGTGGTCAGCATAGATGTGTAGATAGAAGTGGTCAACAACACAGATGTGTAGATAGAAGTGGTCAACACAGATGTGTAGATAGAAGTGGTCAACACAACACAGATGTGTAGATAGAAGTGGTCAACACAGATGTGTAGATAGAAGTGGTCAACACAGGTGTGTAGATGGAAGTGGTCAACACAGATGTGTAGATAGAAGTGGTCAACAACACAGATGTGTAGATAGAAGTGGTCAACACAGATGTGTAGATAGAAGTGGTCAACAACACAGATGTGTAGATAGAAGTGGTCAACAACACAGATGTGTAGATAGAAGTGGTAAAAAACACAGATGTGTAGATAGAAGTGGTCAACACAGATGTGTAGATAGAAGTGGTCAACACAGGTGTGTAGATGGAAGTGGTCAACAACACAGATGTGTAGATAGAAGTGGTCAACACAGATGTGTAGATAGAAGTGGTCAACACAGATGTGTAGATAGAAGTGGTCAACACAGATGTGTAGATAGAAGTGGTCAACACAGGTGTGTAGATGGAAGTGGTCAACAACACAGATGTGTAGATAGAAGTGGTCAACACAGATGTGTAGATAGAAGTGGTCAACACAGGTGTGTAGATGGAATTGGTCAACACAGATGTGTAGATAGAAGTGGTCAACACAGGTGTATAGATAGAAGTGGTCAACACAGATGTGTAGATAGAAGTGGTCAACACAGATGTGTAGATAGAAGTGGTCAACACAACACAGATGTGTAGATAGAAGTGGTCAACACAGGTGTGTAGATAGAAGTGGTCAACACAGATGTGTAGATAGAAGTGGTCAACACAGATGTGTAGATAGAAGTGGTCAACAACACACTGTGTAGATAGAAGTGGTCAACAACACACATGTGTAGATAGAAGTGGTCAACACAGGTGTGTAGATAGAAGTGGTCAACACAGATGTGTAGATAGAAGTGGTCAACACAGATGTGTAGATAGAAGTGGTCAACACAGATGTGTAGATAGAAGTGGTCAACAACACAGATGTGTAGATAGAAGTGGTCAACACAGATGTGTAGATAGAAGTGGTCAACACAGGTGTGTAGATAGAAGTGGTCAACAACACAGGTGTGTAGATAGAAGTGGTCAACACAGATGTGTAGATAGAAGTGGTCAACACAGATGTGTAGATAGAAGTGGTCAACACAGATGTGTAGATAGAAGTGGTCAACACAGATGTGTAGATAGAAGTGGTCAACAACACAGATGTGTAGATAGAAGTGGTCAACACAGATGTGTAGATAGAAGTGGTCAACAACACAGATGTGTAGATAGAAGTGGTCAACACAGATGTGTAGATAGAAGTGGTCAACAACACAGATGTGTAGATAGAAGTGGTCAATACAGATGTGTAGATAGAAGTGGTCAACACAGATGTGTAGATAGAAGTGGTCAACACAGATGTGTAGATAGAAGTGGTCAACACAGATGTGTAGATAGAAGTGGTCAACAACACAGATGTGAAGATAGAAGTGGTCAATGCAGATGTGTAGATAGAAGTGGTCAACACAGATGTGTAGATAGAAGTGGTCAACAACACAGATGTGTAGATAGAAGTGGTCAACACACATGTGTAGATAGAAGTGGTCAACAACACAGATCTGTAGATAGAAGTGGTCAACACAGATGTGTAGATAGAAATGGTAAACACAGATGTGTAGATAGAATTGGTCAACAACACAGATGTGTAGATAGAAGTGATCAACAACACAGATGTGTAGATAGAAGTGGTCAACACAGATGTGTAGATAGAAGTGGTCAACACAGATGTGTAGATAGAAGTGGTCAACAACACAGATGTGTAGATAGAAGTGGTCAACACTGATGTGTAGATAGAAGTGGTCAACACAGATGTGTAGATAGAAGTGGTCAACAACACAGATGTGTAGATAGAAGTGGTCAACACAGATGTGTAGATAGAAGTGGTCAACACAGATGTGTAGATAGAAGTGGACAACACAGATGTGTAGATAGAAGTGGTCAACACAGATGTGTAGATAGAAGTGGTCAACACAGATGTGTAGATAGAAGTGGTCAACACAGATGTGTAGATAGAAGTGGTCAACACAGATGTGTAGATAGAAGTGGTCAACACAGATGTGTAGATAGAAGTGGTCAACAACACAGGTGTGTAGATAGAAGTGGTCAACAACACAGATGTGTAGATAGAAGTGGTCAACAACACAGATGTGTAGATAGAAGTGGTCAACACAGATGTGTAGATAGAAATGGTCAACACAGATGTGTAGATAGAAGTGGTCAACACAGATGTGTAGATAGAAGTGGTCAACAACACAGATGTGTAGATAGAAGTGGTCAACAACACAGATGTGTAGATAGAAGTGGTCAACAACACAGATGTGTAGATAGAAGTGGTCAACAACACAGGTGTGTAGATAGAAGTGGTCAACACAGATGTGTAGATAGAAGTGGTCAACACAGGTGTGTAGATAGAAGTGGTCAACAACACAGATGTGTAGATAGAAGTGGTCAACAACACACTGTGTAGATAGAAGTGGTCAACAACACACATGTGTAGATAGAAGTGGTCAACAACACAGGTGTGTAGATAGAAGTGGTCAACACAGATGTGTAGATAGAAGTGGTCAACAACACATATGTGTAGATAGAAGTGGTCAACACAGATGTGTAGATAGAAGTGGTCAACAACACAGATGTGTAGATAGAAGTGGTCAACAACACAGATGTGTAGATAGAAGTGGTCAACACAGATGTGTAGATAGAAGTGGTCAACACAGATGTGTAGATAGAAGTGGTCAACAACACAGATGTGTAGATAGAAGTGGTCAACAACACAGATGTGTAGATAGAAGTGGTCAACAACACAGATGTGTAGATAGAAGTGTTCAACACAGATGTGTAGATAGAAGTGGTCAACACAACACAGATGTGTAGATAGAAGTGGTCAACACAGATGTGTAGATAGAAGTGGTCAACACAGATGTGTAGATAGAAGTGGTCAACAACACAGGTGTATAGATAAAAGTGGTCAACACAGGTGTGTAGATAGAAGTGGTCAACAACACAGATGTGTAGATAGAAGTGGTCAACAACACAGATGTGTAGATAGAATTGGTCAACACAGATGTGTAGATAGAAGTGGTCAACAACACAGATGTGTAGATAGAAGTGGTCAACACAGATGTGTAGATAGAAGTGGTCAACACAGATGTGTAGATAGAAGTGGTCAACACAGATGTGTAGATAGAAGTGGTCAACACAGATGTGTAGATAGAAGTGGTCAACACAACACAGATGTGTAGATAGAAGTGTTCAACAACACAGATGTGTAGATAGAAGTGGTCAACACAGATGTGTAGATAGAAGTGGTCAACACAACACAGATGTGTAGATAGAAGTTGTCAACAACACAGGTGTGTAGATAGAAGTGGTCAACACAGATGTGTAGATAGAAGTGGTCAACACAACACAGATGTGTAGATAGAAGTGTTCAACAACACAGATGTGTAGATAGAAGTGGTCAACAACACAGGTGTGTAGATAGAAGTGGTCAACACAGATGTGTAGATAGAAGCGTGCAACCGCACACCACTCACATGATGTGCCAAAAACTGATTGCAACCTTACATAATGCATCAGAACTGATCGGACCCACTAGGGTGTATTCAATGGGTTTTTTCAATTTTCCAATAACAATTTGAACAATTAAATGTTTTTTTAGATTCTGTTTTAAAATTTCATTATTTCAAACAGCTTTACCATTATAACATTTAATACACTGTTTCCGGCGCGGAAAAAAAAACGAAAATTCCCTTTTTATTTCCAGATTTGTCGTGATTACACCCAGTGGGTCAGATTTATTTTTTCATTGCCTAAAGTATTGTCTAGCGCGATTTATGCGACACGCGAGCAGTTCTTTACACGAGTTTTTCACGACTCCAGCGTTAAACAACTCGCCTTGTACATGATTTGAGAACGTTGTTCGTAGCTCAGACGTAACTTGAGTCGTTCGTAAATCGAGCTATTCGTAACAGAGACTCTACGTAACTCGAGTCGTTCGTAAATCGAGTTGTTCGTAACACGAGGTTACCGAGTTGTTCAAAATTTGTTGTTCGTAACTCGAGCGGTGATATGTTGTGTGGGGAAGTAGAAATATAACGGAAAAGGTCAACTTGTTTTCAGAATATTGTCTCAAACTGTTTTTTTCTGTGACTTTATTTCCCGTGATCTTTTTTTCCGTGACTTTATTTCCCGTGACTTTTTTTTTCTGTCACTTTATTTCCCGTGATATTTATTTCTGTGACTTTATTTCACGTGACTTTTTTTCTGTCACTTTATTTCCCGCGATTTTTTTTTCTGTCACTTTATTTCCCGCGATTTTTTACTGTGACTTTATTTCCCGTGATTTTTTACTG